AACAACATAAAATGTTCCCTAGCAGTCTGTTTATTCCCAACAATGAGAAGTAATGCCAGTCACTTCACTATATGCTCTGGGCAAGCACTTATCCATAACATAACCACAACAACATTTGCATTTTAGCCTTATTTACCATGCTTGGGTTGTAGGCTAATGTTACTCAACATGGAGGTAACGTTACAGCAGAGAGATTGCTGAGCAAAATACACAACGATCACTTACCACGTCTGCTCGTTTAGTGATGCCGACAGATGGTATAGCAGTGTCTCTCAAGAAATGAGTTTGAACCATTCCTGAGCTTCTGCGCTCCATCCTTTCAGTGTAGTCCTCCGGTAAAAACTGGCAGGAGCACACAAACATTTTCTGGACCATTTCCACAGGCGTGTTGGGGTTGATGTCCAGCACAAATAGCCACTGTTTCATCCTGTCCGTATTTTTGGTTGGTAGCTACTACGTGAAACTTCACTCTGCTCCATGTCTTCGGCTTGTTACCGCAACCTTTTACAATGCATATGTAAACCATGATTTACAAAAACACTTCTAAACTTTCCTCAAACTTTCTGGTGCGTCCAGCTGACAATACCGCAAATGGCTACAAGCAATAACTATGGCACTGTGTCAGGTACGCACTGTGTCACTCCGCCCAGTGGTTTACTCAAGAAAGTAGTTCCGAGTATTTGCTTCATGTGTCGTAATGTTATTTAATTATACATTATTATTTCATAGTGTGGGGAATGCGCAAGTCATGTGTTTACCACTAGAGCGTTTTGGAGTCATTTGATGGTGTATTTGATTAGTTTTCAGGAAGAGAAGGGGCTGTACCTTTCACCTCCATTTTAGCAGGCAGCTCTGCTCCACCGATCTCAGAACTGCAGGCACTGACAATTAAAGGTAATGTACCTACCCATATGACTATAGGGATTACGGCAATAGGTGAATTTGCCAAAATGTCGAACTATCCCTTTAAAAGAAGAGTAAAAACGATCTTTTGCAGAGGGGTTTTGGGCTTGACTGCTTCTTGCCTCGAACCTGTTGCCAGGCAACCAGCAGCAGTCATGGATATGTAAGTATATTTCCCAAAATGTTTGAAGTCACACTAATGAATGCATTCAATACTTTTGATGCATCCTTCAATACCAAGGCTTTTAGCGGAAGTTGAATTTGTCTGAGATATACACACCAGAGTAAGGTGATTCTGAAGTGAGAGCAGGGGGAATTTTCATCTTCAGTTCGAAACGTAGAGCAGGGTCATAGTTGACAGGGACAGTCGGAGGGTCCGCAGCTGAAACCTGGAGAGAAAAAGATAGAAAGGTCAGCGTGTGTCAGACGATCATAAGCAGGTTCATGTATAAAATACAAATATTAGCATCTGTTGTTTTACATGTGCCACATAGAGAATACTCATGTCAAATTATAACGTCAGAACCCGCCGATCTGCCGGAGCCCTCCGGTGTGGAGTCTGCACGTTATCCCATGTTCCTCCCACAGTCTGAAGACTTCAGGCTTCAAACGTTTCAAAAAAATCAACTTTGCAAATATGTTTTGAGGGAGTAAATGCACTCAGCATGTATACCTTCACACACACTTGACCTCCATCCCCAATTTCAGGGCAAAAACTGTCAGCCAAAGGGTGGGGAAATTTTCGTGGACTGACCCACTTACAGAGTTGCTGGTCACAGCTTAAAAACGGAATTTGAAATGCAAACAGACATTGAAAAAAATACAACTGTACTGAAGTATTTTATACCTGAGGAGAAGCTGGCGGCACATTCACTGTAGAAGGCTGGTTTATCTGCAGAGCGGAGCAACACAACATATTAGCAGTGGAGAGGGAAGAGCGTAAACATATCACAAGTGTTGAGCCAACAAGAGCAGAGAAGGCAACACACACTAACCAGCAGGAGAGTCGGACTACGCCGTAAGACGATTGGTTGTAGTGTCTCAGAGGGTTCAGGAAAATTTAAATTCCATGACAAATAAGAAAACCAAAGAGCCCCACTACAGCTAATAAATGGACTTCATGGTATCAACATGTAACTCCATGTTTAGAAGCTTTATCATATTTTACAATGTGTGCTGCTCAGTCAGATAACATGGGAAATCTATGGAATACTTTATAGGAAGGAAAGCTGCACACATGCATCCATGCATTTTACACACACAACCTCACAAACACTCACAACTCATACTGTGTTACTCCCTCTAACAACTGGTCCATGAGTTACGAAAGAGGATGTAGCAAAATGATGTGTATGTCTGTCTACCTGTGTGGGTGTGTGTGTGTGTGTGTGTGTGTGTGTGTGTGTGTGAATTTCTATAAATTGTGGTCATGCTACATGAATCCATTTGTTACTGTAGGCCACTCCCACTGCCCCGCACCAAACATACACCTTCACACACACTTGACCTCCATCCCCAATTTCCCCAAGGGTGGGGAAATTTTTGTGGACTGACCCATTTATAGAGTTGCTGGTCACAGCTTAAAAACTAAATTTGAAATGCAAACAGACGTTGAAAAAAATACAACTGTACTGAATTATTTTATACCTGAGGAGAAGCTGGCGGCACATTCACTGTAGGAGGCTGGTTTATCTGCAGAGCAGAGCAGCATAACATATTAGCAGTGGAGAGGGAAGAGCGTAAACATATCACAAGTGTTGAGCCAACAAGAGCAGAGAAGGCAACACACACTAACCAGTGGGCGAGTCAGACTACGCTGTGAGAAGACTAGTTTTGGTGTCTCAGAGGGCTGACTGAGGTAGTGTGGCCTCCATCTAGAAGGCTCACTGTCATTCTGAATTTGGAGTAAACAGAACCACAATGGGTAACTATAACAGCAGGACTTTTAACTATACAGTATTGTACACACAGGTAAGGCAGCTTTAATGCAGAGTGTGTCCACCTCTTGGTAACGCTTAGCAGGTTCAGCAGCATCAGTCTCAGGATCGTCCTCTTTGGCAGGGCTCCCCCCACAGCAGCAGTACCTCACACAGCAGAAGAAAAGTAAGGTGAGGGCTACACCAGCGCCAAAAGCCCAGTCAGATGGCACATAAGGTTTGGCTGAAACAATGAGTCAATTAGTCAATGGGCAGAAAATGTACCACTAACAGTTTTGATAACTGACCCTGTAATTTGCAAGAATGTTAATATGTTACTTTAATTAGAGTCTCCCAAATGTGAGGATATCCTGCTTTACTCTGATTTGTATTAGTAGTATCATGTATCGTGAGTATCATCATCATCAGTATCTGTCCTTCTGTAAATCTTGTAAATTGGACATCAAAAACAAAGATGCCAGAATAAAGTAGCAAATAGGTTTTATGACAAGGTAAGATAATTTGATAATATAGTCATCTGACACTTAGAAAACACTTACACTCCACTGCCAGTGACATCTCGAAGGCCGTGTCGCCATTATGATCTCTGATCTCAAAGCGTCCGCTGCATGATGACTGGAGGGCCTCATTTACAATCCCACATGGCTTTAATAGGTCAAACCCTCGGCAACCATATTCATCCGAAACAGGCTGCATCCAGCCGTGACGTACAATCTCAACCATCACTTCTCTCTTTTCACCTGTCCTTTCTGGGAAGAAGAAAACATTGCAGGAGCCCTGTTTCAGATCAAAACTGACGCTGAGGAATTCACCAGATTTCCGTTCATGGGTCTCTGTAGATGCTGAAAGACAAGATGCACAAGACCCAAAATCTTATGAGTATCACACACTCCTCCTGTACAGTCTTGGTTCTTGGTTTCTAGTTTTGTCTTGCACATAACATTGCAGCTGTGATCAGTTTAAAAAGGAGCAGTTCTACATTTTGGGATTTTTTGGGATTCACTTTCTTGCCAACAGTTAGATGAGAAGATCAGTACCACTCTGGATGTACCCTGATAAAGACTATTGAGGTCAAAACACGTTGGTCATCCATTTATTAACAAAGTGATACTTTTACTCCAAAGGTAACCCACTCCAACTATGAGCACCTTGTTCAGCACATAACTCCCCCTAAAACTGCAACTTGTTTGTAGGCTTTGTAGCTTTTCACCCATTTCCTGTGTTCCAGTGTCTTAATATTTACTGTACAGACATGAGAGTGCTATCCATCTTTTCATCTAACTCCCAGCAAGAAAATGAAGAACCAAAGTTCCCAACACGAGGAACTTGTCCGTTTAAGGACCAGTGTGTAGGATTTAGAGGGATCTATTGGCAGAAGTGGAATATGATATGCATAACTATGTTTTCATTAGTGTACTTTCACCTGTAACTAAGAATAATTGTGTTTTTGGTAGTTTAGAAATGACAACATCAGGGACTGAAAATCGAAGCCAGTGCATATGTGCCAAGAACTGCAGTTCCATGAACGGCCACTTGAGGCTGTCTTCAAGAGCAAATCAGTCCTCTGATAGACCTCATGTTAAAGTGCCCAACTTTACAGCAGAAACAAACATGTTTACAGTCTGCTACAGAAAAAAAGTTTTAGTCTCTAAATCTTACTTCAACATTCATGACAACTATTTGGGGGGTGTATTTTTATATAACTCCACCATTTACATTTTATTAAGGCTTACACTTACACATGGCTGAGGGTGGGACGCTCTGCGACAAGCTGTCTGCAGACAGTGTCCTCAGCTTATCAGCGAGATCCACCCCTCACTTCTCCCCATTGCGAGCCTCTCTTTTGAACCCCCTCTCTCATCATTGAGTCTTCTACCTGTTTAATTTCCACTATAAATTCTATTACCTCCAAAAATGAAATGATCATCTTAAGGGATTTTAATAAAAACTGGTTATACAGATCCTCTGCTAAAGACAGAAATAATTTTGAGAGTCTGCATATGACACAACTTATTAATGAACCATCACTGTTCCATGTATAGTTCACTTAACTGGTCATCACTTGAAACAAGAAGACATATTCACTGGCTTCATCTGATTTTCAAATGCATACATTTTGACTATCCTCATTATCTAAAACAATATCTAGTCCAGTATTCATCAAGATATCAACTAAGACTTTCAGAACAATCCTATTCCACTGTACCTTCTGTTCATAAACTAATTGGAAAGAGAGCTTTTAGATTTATGGCCCCATCACACTGGAATAAATTACCACCACATATTTGTTCCCTGACATCCTTTCACTTGTTCAAAAGCAGTTTGTCTTCTTATTTTAAGTTGAACTGCACATGCTTCAGGAGATGTATATATACATTTTTTTCTCTCTCTTTTCTTAGGCTATTCTCTTAAAGTTATCTGTGTACTTATTTCCCCAATGCGCTATTGTGACTTGTTTTTACTTGTTGTGTGTTACCTGTATTGTTGGGTGTTATCCTTGTATTGTCCTGTCTTTGTTGTAACTGGCCTGTTTTGGGCAGTTATTTGTGAAATGTTTCGTGTATTGTTTTGTAATTTCATCTGTTTTCGTTGTTGTATCGGACCCCCTCGAAAATGAGATGATGCATCTCAAGGGGTTTATCCTTAATAAACTTTGAATAATAAATGGATTGGAACCACAGCTGCTGAATTCTGCAAAGGACAAAACTACAAACACTCGAGGTTTGACAGCTATTTCAAGTAAGTTTACCAGTTGATTCTGGAGTATTCATTTCATTCATGTTATAAAACATGAGATTGTTGAGTCCTAACTTTGAACATTGGCACTTACACACATGAAGCTAAATGAGGCTTTTAAGACAAGGCAATAATTCAATAACACAGTCTGACACTTAAAAAAAACACAGAAGTTACTTACGATTCATTTCCAGTGACACCTCTAAGGCCGTGTCGCCATTCTGATCTCTGACCTCAAAGCGTCCTCTGCATGCCATTTGGAGGGCCTTATTTAAAATTCCACATGACCTGTACAGCTCAAACCCTACGCATTTATACTGATCCAGTCCCCCCTGCAGTTTGCCTTGACGAACAATGTCAATAGTTAATGGCTGACCGTTGCTTTCTGGGAAGAAGTAAATGTTGCAGGAGCTCGGTTCCAGAGCAATAGTAAAGCTGAGGCGTTCACCAGGTTGCCGTTTAAAGTCTTTTGTGATGGCTGGAAGACAGGGAGTGCAAAAGAGAGGATATTAAATTGAGTCTCCATCCAAAAATCGTTTAAGTATCAAACACTCCTCCCGTACAGTCTTGCTTTATGAATATGAAGGTTGCGTATACACTTTAATATCGCAAGAAAATAAAATGCTGTCTTCTTTTTAGCTTGATCATTGTGCATGTTTGAGTGATGCTTTTGATAAACCAAGTATTATCTTGACCCACACTGCCATGCAGCCATAACATTACACTAACATACAGTCAATAACATATTACACTTGGGATGCTTAAATTCAAATGGCCCAAGAGAAGAGTGTGACAGCCACAGTGTTTTGAAAAAAAGGGGTGCCAGAATAGGAAATTAGAGAAACAGAAAATTAAGGAGGATATTCACCTTCTACCTCAAGGGTATGAGTGGTCAATTCTCTCATATCTTTGTCTCTCAGGATGTAGCGACCACTGTCTCTCTGAGTTAAATTCTTCATCATATAGGAGATGTACGTCCTTACATACTTCTTGTCCTCGCTGATTTCAGGGTCTCCTGATTTCCACAAGGTCCTCACATCTGAGCTGTTTTTCGGGTTGAACTCGATGAAGTGAGTCCTTCTGAGCATCCAAAGGTTGTAAATGCTCCCATATTGCTGATAAATGACCTGTGATTGGCCTTGTGAGAGACAGTCCAACAGAAACATTACTGATTTACCAGACACCCACCACCACCTTTGCTTGCATTATCTTTTCCACATTATCTTAACATGCATCTACATATTTTTGCATGATTTTATTTATTTGTGTCTGACGGAAACAAATATTAAAACATCAAATAATTTAAACCTAACAAACCTGGACATATACAGTATATAACCATAATATTATATGTAGTGACTCCACGTTTACACGGCTACAAATGCCAATCATATTCAAATCTTTTACTTATATAAATCTAGCAAGAGGTACTTCTGACTAAATGTTTTAAGCTAAACTTAACGTTAAAGCATTGACTCCCTAAGATAAAAAGTGGATATTATAACTTGAGTGCACTTTTTTTTTTTTTTTAAATTGTGCAACATACTGTATACAACATACTGTATACAACAAATTGTATATAAATATAAATTTTGTAAGACACAAAACATAATGAACCTATTAGTATTGCAGGCCAAGTTAGAAATATGTTATTAATGTTAGCACATGATTTGTTCACAGCACATTTAATCTACAATAATGCAATTTAGTGTATAAAATTAAAGCAAAAAGAGACTGTAGCTGTCAAATAAATATACTTAAGTAAAAGGTACGATTATCTCCTTTGAAATGTAGTTAAGTAAGAGTGTAAAGCAGCATTTTAGCATTTAGCAGTCTTGCTAAAGTAGGACTAATAATGTTTACACTTACCCATACAAACAAAGGCACCCAGCAACAACCACACAAACATCATCTTCCGTGATTCAAAACACGAAACCCCAGTCTAGTGTAAACCGTCGCCGACCAGTTTATGGTTTTCGAGACTTAACTAACCCAAAACATCTCAATGCAGTCACAACATTAAGGCAGGAGCAGTGCAGTGGACATGTTCCGTACTGAATCGTTATTGGATTCGGTCTTGACCAACCCTGAAGGGCGTTGCTATGGGTGTTGCCATGATGCGTTTATGTACTATCGGAGATAAATGTTGTCAGGCCGCCCGTGAGCTCTATTAACCACTAATAAAGCTTCATACTATGGTAAAGAGCTCAAGAGTCGGTAAAATGTGAATTATATGGAGATAGTTAGGTTATTCGAGGGGCCATTTAGCGTTGACATTTTCATCTAAAAAAATTCGAGGGTCTACATGACGTCATCAAGCTGCGCCCCATGTAGCACTAAGAAAGGCTTATATAGTATTTACATAAGGAGATAAGAAAATGTAGGCAAACTATTGTGTAGCGAGTGGTGAAACAAACGTAAATATAGATTTAAGGCACACAAGATACGTGAATACTCACTGTCAGTGTGATTAAGCGCAAAGTGATGCTGGTGACAGACAGTTACAAGTGATGGATAGCTAGCTTAAGCTGAAGGCTGCTGCAGTAGGCTACATCAAGGGCGTAGGGTTTATTTCAACATTTGGGGGGGGGGGCACATATTCAGTGGGAGTTCTGAGGTGCTCCCTCAAGAAAATATGAGCCTCAAACAATTAATTTCCCACATTCTGGAGTTTTTTAATGCACCATGCAGGAAATGACTTTATCTTAAGGACAACAGGAAACATCAAAAAGGAGACAGTTAAAACTTTAGCCTAAAGAATATAGTGAAATAATGTAGAACAGTGTTAAGTCACTCACCATGTTATCCCTGGTGAGTGGAAAGCACGTGGAGGCATGATTTACTCTGTCATCCTCATTTGTGTCTGGTGTCAATGATGAATTAATTCATTTATAAACCTCTTGACTTCAATAGCTCATATGTGCTTCAGCAATATTTGTGGTTTATTCAAAACGTTATATGCATTCAAAGCATGTGTTCTGTGATTGTGAGAATTGAATATTCTAACACCCAACTTAACTTTCATGTAATTACAGGTGAACTTCAGTAACAAAGCCAATAGTGTGGGTCAAAATGCCATAACAGGCCTTTATTTCACTCAGGGTCCCCAACAGCTATATTACAATTACAATTAAAAAGTTAAAAAGTGTCTTGCTGCAGGGGTGTGACACACCAATCTATAAGCAGATGCAGTGGAAGTATACTATACGTGGATAACCAAAATTACTCACAAAATAAATGCCGTTTCCAACAGAAAAACACCCAAACTATGACCAGCGCCACATCAAACCTTAAATTATATCACCACAAGATGAACTCCCACTGCACCAGCTGCTCCCACGACCAGAGGCCAAAACCAACTGCAGCACTAAAAGACAAAGCCATACATTATTAAGTTCAAATTACTAGAATACAAGTTAAACAATTTAGAATAAATAATGTAAAGTATTATGTAAAATAAACAGCAACCGGCACTTTGCCTGTGAATTGAACACAACACATACTAAAGACATGAATGCATATTAAAGACACCCATACATTTTTTTAATTATGCAATCATTTTTGCAATAAGAAATACAACAAATTCAGTATTAACACTTAAAAAACAATACCTCAGGGTGTGTTTGCACCCCCACAGTAACTTAATAAAATAATCATATTTCAAACACAAAGTTTGTTGGGCTCACCAGGCAGGCATGTGCATAGGAGTGATCTCAGACCAAGAATAAGGCTCACACACACCTGTGCTCCATGAGACGCTCTCACCTTAACAGACCAAACTTTGCCTGGGTCCTAGTGTCCTCCTGCTGCAGTACTTTGAGGAAAAAGGTGTAAAATTACGAGAATAAACTCACGATCTAATCAATTGTTCCTTAAATACAGATTGTTTCTTAAATACAGATTGTTTTTGCATTATGACAATACCTTCACGTTATTGCCTACATATGTTTCTATTGTCATACAGACAAATGTTGTGGTATTCATGGTATGCTGATGCTAAATGTTGTGGTTCAGATTAAAATTAATACGCCATTTCATACAAATGCAATTAGGCTCAGGGATTTAACAGTCCAGTGCGGCAAATTATTTAGCTTTCAAAAAACGGGGAGAAAAAACTTTTCAAAGTCAACGCACAGTTACATATCTTTACATATAATGCAGACAAATATTTGTAATTAATAGAACAATTACTCATAGATTTCTTGGTGTAATGATTGGGGCAGTTTCTTGAAGCCACAAGTAGAGCTTATCTACAAATATGCACCCAAAGATACAGTGTGTAACAGTTTCCAAATGTAGGACACTTCATTATTTAAACATGCATCTATACATTTTATATTCTAGCATGATTAAGTTTCTTTGACTAAAGTACATTAAAATGTCTAATCATTTTGCAAGTACGTTAGGTGAGTAAGTAGGCCTAATAAACCTGGACATATACAGGATATAATCATAATATCTTCTGTGCTAACTATACATTCACACTACTAGAGATGCCTTTCATAATTCATATACAGATTTTCTTCTCAAGTAAATGCAGCAATACCACAATGCAGAAATACTTCATTAAAGTAAACATCCATGCACTCAAATTCTGCTTGAGTAAAAGTACATGTATGTACCTTTAGCTAAATGTTTTAGTCAAACTTAGTGTTAAATTAGGGACCCTGCAAGATTCCAAAAGTGGATATTATAAGTAAAAATCTAATAAGACACAAAAGACCATTTAAAAAAAAGATTCCAGATGTAGAACTTACATTATTACAGAATAAAAGAAAATAGAAACATCATATATAATTTCTCACAATGTAATGATAAAAACTACACAGAGACTTTCAGGTAAGAAGCTGGAGGCACATAGTATCAGCCTGAAATAACCATATAAAAATACTGTAAAAGTAAATCTGGTAACAGTGGCTTAAATTGCAGAGTGGAGTGGTTTGATCTCCATGAGTGTTGGGGTCAGTTTGAATCCTTAATTTCTAAAATCTGCTACAAAGACTAGCTTTTAGACCTCATTGTGACATCATCTCTCCTACCTATGGTAACCTTAGCAACAGGAGAAAGGCTCAGTGTACATGATACATTCAATATTACCTGAATGTATAGCACACATTTATATTACACAGAAATCCTGATCATGACAATTAACTCTACAGTAGCTATGGCGCTCTGAGTGAGCTTTCTTCTTCTTTACCTGAGAAAAAATACCTTCATCATACGCAAGACTCAACCTAAATTGATTCATGTCTCTGTATTACTCCTACTCTCTGCTGCTATGAGATACACAGTGCAGATTCAAGGTAAAAAATTCAAAAAAGAGGTAATCAGTGAGGTTGACATTGTCAAGTACTCAGGAATCATCTTAGACTTTTTATGTGTGCATACCACACATTTCAATTAAAGACTGAAATGGCTGTCAGTAGAGGTAGAATGCTCAATGCAACTCTGCATTTCTCAAACTTTCTGTGCACTTACAGAAAGTTGAGTTTATCTGAGGTGTAAACATCACTGAAAGTTGCATCTGAACTGAGGGGGGGAGCAGAGGGCAGTTTCAGCTCAAACTTTGGCTCAGGGTCCGACGAGAGACAATCAAAGCTGAGTGAAGGAGCTGGATCGTCTCCCTTCCCTCCTAGAGGGTCAACCTGGAGAGAGAAGTGAAAAAGATAGATAAATAAATAAAAACTACATGTATGTGTTAATCAAACAGTGTTGATAAGGTCAATGTAAGAAAACAGTCTGCCTTTGAAGGGCCAAAAATCAGTCTGAGAATGGGGACTCTTGCTGTTTGTTAAGATAATAACCAAAATTGAATGCATTCAAAGGGAACTCTGTATGTTTGTGTGTGTACCTCAGGCTGAGGGGAGCTCACATGGATTTGCGATGGGTTGTGTACCTGTAAGGTAAAACAAATGCATGCAAGTCAAAACAGGAGAACATACTGCAGGAGCTCATAATGCTTTGAGAAGGTAAACAGGAAGTAGATTGTTAGCATGGATTCAATGCATTATGCTGTCTGTTACAACTTAAAGCTTGTTTTTTGATCCTCTATTTGTATACATTTACATTTGTGTACATATTTGTATACACAATGTGAATTAGCTATAGCCAAGTCCTGTTTGCCCACCCTCCAGTCTCCACCATTGTCTCCAATGGTTAGCTAGCCTTGGCCACCCTGCAGTGCGCACCCATAGACTTTAATAATAGACACCAGGCCAAATGGTGGTGGTGCCTGTTCATTCCAATAGAATTGCTCACTTTGCCCATGCATCAAAAAAAAGTTCTATAGCTTTCGATTTTACCTCCACGGCATGCAGCCATCTGAATATGCACAGTAGTGTTTCTCCTGCTGGCCCCGTCCGTGAGTTCCCACTCAGGTCATAGACTTTACATTGTGATGATGTCTCAGATTTTTAAGTTGCTTTTCCTAGAGACGTGACCTTTTACAATGGTGGTCTATAAGGAAAATGGTATTTGGGTCACAGGGGATTTTTTTTTCCAACAATACCGCGAGTGGCCACAGGACAAAAATTAAAGTTAACCTACAGACCAACATGTATAACCAGTTAAAATTATTCTCAGCTGTTAACTGACTGATAGTTAGTATCTCTCCCTTGTTTGAAAACCTCTGTATAACACCTACCATTGGCTCATTTAAGATAGATGTGGGTCCTCCAGAATTCAATGGCTGATGAGAGTAACCTGAACCAGGTGCAGCGGAGTAAATTGGGCCTCCAGATCGATCCGAATCCTGCAATTGGAAGGAGGATATTGGAATAAAAATTGCAACATGTGTTAAAAATAGTTGAATGTCTATTTAAGGAAGCACTTACATGGTTATAGACAGCAGGTGCAGGTGCAGGTGCAGGTGCCCGTGCATGTGCACCTGCAGTCTGAAGAGCAGACTTGTTCCTTTTAGAAGAGCTCTCTTTAGAGCAGCTTTTCACACAGCAACGGCAGATAATACCCGCAAACAAAATCCCAAAAATAGAAGTACCATAACCAACGGCAGGAGCTGGAGATATAAAAACTGAAGAAGGGGAAAGGGGGATATGTTAATTAGAATCGTGATCAGTCACAGTTTGTTCATACATTTTTCCAAAAATAAAGTGCTGCTGCTCACCACGTTTTACCACCACCTGCGCAATCAGGGCCAGGTGACCTTGTGGGTCTCTGAACTCAAAGGTCCCAGAGTCTGTGCTTTCCACAGGATCAATCTCTATGCCATCTTGCACAACCAAAATCCTCCGTGTAAAAGTCCAAGGCATAGAGTCCATCTCATCTTCAACCAGAAGGCCTGCTTTCATCAATGTGTAGTGTTTCATTTCCCCCTCAGGTGTAAAAGTCACAGTCATCGGCACATCACCTAGAGGATTTTCAATGAGGAGCCGCTTGTCCACCTTTGTATCATATTGTCTAAATCCCTCTGTGTGTGATAAAGAGTATATTGTATAAGAACATGTCATCAGATACGCAGCAGTGTAAAAGCTCAGATGCAACTTTAACAATCTACAGAACATCACCTTGTACTGTGAGCTGTATCCTCGACAGCAAAGTGTTGTCTTTTCTTCTGAAGTTGTAGTGGCCCATGTCTCCCTGATTTACGTTCATAATCTCCCACACATTACGCTTCACCTGTCCTCTGCCTCCCCTATTGGTGTGACGGTTGGTGTGGTTCCACAGGACCTTTGGCTGGTCCTCACTGTCAAGGGGAGTAAACTCCAAAAATGCAGCCTCTCTAGGAATATGATAGGAGAACCTTTCCCCGTAATACCTTGTTTCCTTTTCAGCACAATCTGAAAAAACACATTCAGGAAAAAAGACAGGATGCACTAATTGCACACTTCATAGAAAAATCTATTCCCAAAAAGTTTTCTGATGGAATAGAGTCTTTAAATATACAGTATAATGTAATATTCTCACCCAAAATTTCCAGTTTGATGACATCGTGAAACATGCCATTATCATCTGAGACAGAAAAAAATCCATCATCTCTTTCTGTCAAATCTTCGAATACAGCTGAGATGAATGAAACTTTAAGGCGTGGGTCCTTTGCCTGATTGGGAGGACATCACAGATTCATTTACTCAGGACAGAAAATAGATTCTGTTCATTCAAAACTTGGTTTGCTCTGACTTTTATCATATTCCAGATCCTGCAATGCATGATATCATAGTGATATTGGTTATAGTTTAAATGACAGTGCCAAAAACTGCTCACCTCCCCATTATCCATCATTAGCCTCCTGGATCCCCCATTTGGAGTGAAGTACAATGGACCATGGAAAAGAGGTGGTGCATAAGAAAATGGTATTTCATAATTTTTGCCATAGCACACCGTTTTATGCTTGAGACCAGCAGATGAACCTTCAATGAGAGAAATAGTTAAAAAAGATAGATGGGAGGGAATATTAAGATAAGTCAGATACTAAACATCTGAACACATCTGATACCAGGAGAACAAACAAAAAAAAAACTTAATTACTATGTAGGTAGGTGAATGTAAGGTAAGTGGGTAATTTATCTTACATAGAATACAAAGAATAATTATTTGAAAAATCATAATATAAAATTTGTTTGATAAGTCTGTTATCAGGCATGTTGATTAATTTATCCCACAGTTGCAACATGTCACCATTGTGCTGCATTTCACGTCTCCCATCCCATGTCACCACGTACTGCAAGTTTTGGGGCCATTTAAATAATGGCTGCAGGCGTAAACCAACATGTTTGAGGGCACTATTGAATCATCATCTGCTGTAAGGTCACATGAGTCATTTCTGAAGCTTCACAAAATCAGAACAAATGAAGCCACATTTAAAAAAGAATTACAGAAATGATACAGCCTCAATATCCCTGAATTGTCAAATTAGTGACCAAAAATCTAGTCACCTTTAAATCACTTCAGAACATCCGAAATAAAAACTAACACTAATTAAGTAAATCCATAAAAAGATCAAATGTGTCGATAAGTATACAATTTAAAGAAATTAATTCAGTGCCAAGTGGATCAGAATCTGTAAAAAAAATAAAGAAAATATTTTATTTTATTTATTCAATTAAATCAATGTCAGACACTTTCTCTTCTTTTTAATGAAGTTTCCAGCATAATCGGTGAGGATAGATGAGTAGTAGGCCTATGCTATGTAGGTTTGCTTGGCACTAAAGACTATGTACATTTACATATTGATAGCAAAAAATAAATACAATGAAATTACTACTAATATAACAAAGTTGAGCCAAATACTATAAAATCGGAAGGAGGAGGGCGGTGATGGCTGTTTTTTTTCTTGTTTGATTTGATCTTATAACAAACATGTATTCAGTAGCCCAGCTATATAACTTTATACATTTATAGTTGCTTTAAACGCAGCTGACATAGGTCACATAATTGGCATATTTGCAGCTGTGCAGAGCCCACATATAGACTGTGTGGATCCGAGACTTCGCTAATTAAAGACAGAAAAAAACGTTAAGTGAAATGTCAGATGTGTTGAACCTGCATGGTGGCATTTCCTCTGTGAGGCTGTGTGATTTAAACTCACCATACAAGATGCACAAAACAGCGGCGTGCAACAATAGCATGTCCTGCAGAGAGAAGAGACGTTTTTTTTACCAACAGTATCAGGTTAACGTTTCTCTAAACATAGAGAGCACAAAACTGAACAGATCTGAAAAGCCGACAGGCAATATGTTGTCAACTTACTGCAGTGTTCATTTTCATTTTATATGTTACGGTCGATTTGTGTTTCATCCATGGACAAAACACTGGACTGGGCGAGGCTTTCCTCACACTCTGTTTGCGTCATAGCTGCGCCATGTGTGCGCAAAATGCGCATATCAGGCGGTGGCTCCCAACACAGACCACCGTGATTAAATGCATTAGATGTTTCTGGATTATTTTTTTCTTTCTTTTGGAATTTCACCTCTTAATGCAACTAAAATCCTGAGATTTAAACACTCTAAAAAGGCAAAATCACTCTTTGGTTGGACTGCTCATAATCATGCCAAAATAAATGTAGGGACCAGCAGAGACATTCCTTCATTTACTTCGGTCACATGCCAAAAAGGTCAGTAACATAAGTCTATGGTATACATAACCACTGTAAATATAGTTAGCCTGGTGGTATTTAAATAAAAGTGAGGCTGCAATGGTTTGAGATTTTCATGGTTTAATAACCATCTACGAAAATATCATGGTTTCACAGTAGCCTATACAGTGTTACACAATTATTATTGTGCAGTAGAGGAAGAATAGGTACATGTGCAGGTGAAATTCTGTGTATGGTTGCATTTTTAAAAAGAAAATACTGCAGATAAGCAAATGTATATGATGTCAATTTCATGCTGAAAGAAAGCCTTGGGGGGATTTCTTCAAATTTGGTATAAATATTCACTTGGTCTAAGCAATTAAGGATATATTTTAGTGGTCATAAATCAAAGTTCAAGGTCAGTGTGACCTTGTCTGTCTAATTCTTGTGAGTGCAATATCTCAAAAACACCTTGAGGGAATTTTTTCAAATTTGGCACTGACATTGACTTGATGAATAAATTCAATTTTGGTGATCAAAGGTCAAGGAAACTGTGACCTTGCATTTGTCCCCTTCTCGTGAAACTGACATCTTAAGAATGCCATGAGGGATTTTTTATTTTTCAAATATGGCACAAACATCCACTTGAGCTCAACAATGCATGATTCGATTGTGGTGGTCATAGATTTAAGTCCATGGTCACTGTAGCGACCACTATCAATACAAAAGCCACTGAGAGGCGGAGTCTAGCTCTTAACTGCGACTCATTGAAAGAAATTCATGTCGAAGTCCAACGTTGCATTTTTATGATCATTTCTTAAACAAACACCTGACGAACTTAAGTAAAATGAGATAACAGTCAACAGAAAATATCGGAGCCAACACTCAGCCTCTTTGTTTAACAAAACCATCACGCCAGTGCAAGAACAGGTAAAATAATGTGAGACCACATCGGGATATTTAAAGATAACCTTGAGGAAATTTCCTCAAATTTAGCACAAACGTCCACTTGATGAACTGATTAGAGTCTGATGTTCATATGTCACTACAACCATGAGTTCATCTCATTCTTGAGAATGTAATTTCTCAGAACGGTTTTGAGGGATTTCTTTTCAAATTGGCACAAATGTCCACTTTACATCAAGGAGTTAATGATTAGATTTTGGTTGTCAAAGGTCAAGGTCACTGTGACCTCACAAAACACGTTTCTGGCTATAACTCAAAAATCCATATGCTAATTATGACTTTTCACATAATGTTTGGCAAAAACACCTTTCTGTTCATATTACAACATAACTCAGGAACAGAGGGGGAGACATTTGAGCTGCAGCAACATCCATACTGGAAACACTGACTACTGTCATGGCTACATATGAGTCTGAACAGACATGGATGTTAACTGGAACGTGACCTGTTGGTGGAGGCAGACAACCATGAGGCGGTAATTCTAGTTTTACTACAATTTCATTTTTATTGTAATCTGTACAGAGCATAAAAAAATAAAAAAATATCACATATAATTTCTTAGAATGAAATTATAAAAACCACACAGACACTCTGATATAAGAGGCTGAAGGCACATGATATCACTCTGAAACAACCATATAAAAATACTATACAAGTAAAGCTGGTAACAGTGGCTTAAATTGCTGAGTGGAGTGATTTGATCTCCATGAGTGTTTTCTAGAAACATCATCATCATCTCTCCTATCTATGATACCCTTGGCAGCAAGAAAAAGAGTTATGCATTCAATACAAAACCTGAATTTACAGCACACATTTATATTCCATATAAAACAGAAATCCTGATCATGACAGTTAACTCTGCAAAAGCTACAGAGCTCCTGTGAACTTTGTTTTTCCTTAACTGATAAAAAAATACCTTAATCATTTGTAGGAACTGATCTAAAATTGATTTATGTCTCTGTATTACTCCTACTCTCTGCTGCTGTGGGTTATCAAGAGTTCCTGGAGTACTTGCCTCAGACTTCTTTGATCACACCACATTGGTGTTTGTATTTATATTAAAAGAAAGAGGACATCCCACATTTTAACCTGCAATAGGTCTGGTCACGTGTCAATATAGTGTGAATGATATTTTCTTCCTCTACATAGTACTTATTTTGTGCACCTTTGCAGGTTTATAAGAACTTAATTTTCCGTGTCCGTATACGCAAGACCTTACAGAGAGCTGAGTTTGTCTGAGGTGTAAACATCACTTAAAGTTGCATCTGAACTGAGGGGGGGAGCAGAGGGCAGTCCTTTCAGTTCAAACCTCGGCTCAGGGTCCGACGAGAGACAATCAGAGCCAAGTGATGGAGCTGGATCATCTCTCTGCCCTCCTAGAGGTGCAACCTGGAGAGAGATAAATAAATAAATGAAAAGCAAATGTATGTGTTAATCAAACAGTGTCGGTAAGTTCAATATCAGAAAAGAGTCTTCTTTTGAAGGGCCAAAAATCAGTGTGAGAACGAGGACTCTCTTGCTGTTTGTTAAGACAACAATCAACATTTAATGCATTTACAGGGAGTTCTGTATGTTTGTGTGTGTACCTCAGGCTGAGGGGAGCTCACATGGATATTCACTGGGGTGTACACCTGTAAGGTAAAACAAATACATGCAAGTCATAAAAAAGGAGAACATATTGCTTTGGGGGATGTACACAGGAAGTATAATGTATGATGAGTTTTGGTGTTAGAAGGTGTGTGTTTTTACTATGAGTCCCGAGCTGAATCAGGGACATTTATGGACATGATGGAGATAATGATGTCCGAAAGTGTGAGTCACATTGAATTAGGGATATCAGTTTAGGTTAATTTTGCACTGATAAGCCCCCAAAACCCACTTAACGTGTAACTAACTGGTTAATTTTTAAGACAAAAAAAAAAAAACATCTTAATGGCGTTACATACACAAGGCCTTTTCTTTTAGTCCAGCACTCCACTGACTTATTGAGCTTTAGTGTTGGAGGTAGTGATCTCATGATGTTTGGCTTTGCTGACAGACAACCAGCTGGCTGTATTATGCAGCAACATAGTCCACCCAATATTCTCTGCGGTTAGTATCTCATCCTCGTTTGAAATCCTTTGTATAACACCTACCGATGGCTCAGGTGAGGTAGATGTAGGTTCTCTGGAAACAAGAGAATTCAATGGCTGATGAGAGGGATCAGGCGCAGCAGAGTAAATTTGGCCTCCAGACTGATTTGAATCCTGTAATTGGAGAAATGATATTGAAGTAAAAATAGCAACACGTGTTAAAAACAGATGAATGTCTATTTGAGGAAGCACTTACTTGGTAATACCCAGCAAGTGCGGTTGCAGCCTGACGAGTAGATTTGGCCTTTTTAGAAGAGCTTCTTTTCGACCAGCATTTCTTCACACAGCAACAGAAACCAATCACCGCAAATAAAACCCCGACAGCAATAACATAAACCATGGCAGGAACTAGTTCTGTAAGAGCAGAAGAAGGGGGAGGGTTTTTATTGTTAATTAGAATCGTGATCAGTCACATTTTGTTCATATATTTTCCAAAAATAAAGTGCTGTTGCTCACCAATGTTTACCACCACATCCGCAGTCTGGGCCAGGTGGCCTTGCGGGTCTCTGAACTCGTAGGTGCCAGAGTCTTTGATTTTCACAGGATCAATCTCTATGCCATAATGCACCACCTCAATCCTCCCTTGAAAATTCCAAAGCGGGGTGTTCCAGTCATCTTCTTCAACCAGATGGCCTGCATTTACCAATGTGTATCCTTTCATTTCCCCTTTAGGTGTAAAAGTCACAGTCCATGGGACATCGCCTGAAGGATATTTGATGAAGAGCTGCTTGTCGTCCTTTGCATCATAGTGTCTATGTTCCTCTGTGTGTGATAAAGAGTATATTGTTTAAGAACATGTCATTAGATTCGCAGCAGTCTAAAAGCTCAGATGCACCTTTTATTAACTACCGAAAATCACCTTGTACTGTGAGCTGTATCCTCGACAGCAAAGTGTTGTCTTTTCTTCTGAAGTTGTAGTGGCCCATGTCTCCCTGATTTACGTTCATAATCTCCCACACATCACGCTTCACCTGTCCTCTGCCTCCCTTATTGGTCTGAGGGTCTGTGCGATTCCACAGGACCTTTGGCTGGTCCTCACTGTCAAGGGGAGTGAACTCCAAAAATGCAGCCTCTCTAGGAATATCATAGGAGAACCTTTCCCTGTAAGTCCTCGTCTCCTCTACAGCACAATCTGAAAAAACACATTCAGGAAAAAAACAGGATGGACTTACTGCACACTTCATAGAAAAATCTATTCCCAAAAATGTTTTCTGATGGAATAGAGTCTTTAAATATACAGTATAATGTAATATTCTCACCCAAAATTTCCAGTTTGATGACATCCTGAATTTTATCATCAAATGAGATGGAGAATATTCCGGCATCTTTTTCTGTCAAATCTGTTAATTCAGCTGAAATAGTGGAAACTTTAAGGCGTGGGTCCTTTGCCTGATTCAGAGGACATCACACATACATTACTCAGGACAGAGAATAGATTCTGTTCATTCAAAACCGGGTTTGCTCTTTTGTCATATTTTAGATGTTGCAGTGCATGGATGTCTGAGCAATATTGGTTATAGTTTAAATGACAGTGCCAAAAGCTGCTCACCTCCCCATTATCCATCATTAGCCTCCTGGATCCCCCATTTGGAGTGAAGTACAACTGACCACGGAAAACAGGTGGTATATAAGAAAATGGTAATGCAAAATTTTCGCCATAGCACTCCGTGTCATACTGGAGACCAGCAGATGAACCTTCAATCAGAGAGATACAAGTAAAAAGAGATAGACGGGAGGAGATATCAAAAAATAAGTCAGATACTAAACATCTGAGGACATGTGGAAAACATACTGTAAGCATCTCAAGTACATTCGATACCACAGAGAAAAAAAAACTGTGAATTACTATGTAGATGGGTGAATGTAAGGTAAGTAGGTAATTCATTTTTCAAAGTGACATGCACCTGACTCAAGAATAATTATTTGAAAAATCATAATATAAAATTTGTTTGTTAAGTCTGTTATCAGGCATGTTGATTAATTTATCCCACAGTTGCAACATGTCACCATTGTGCTGCATTTCACATGTCTCCCATCCCATGTCACCACGTACTGCAAGTTTTGGGGCCATTTAAATAATGGCTGCAGGCGTAAACCAACATGTTTGAGGGCACTATTGAATCAACATCTGCTGTAAGGTCACATGAGTCATTTTTGAAGTATCACAAAATCAGAACAAATGAAGCCACATTTTAAAAAATGATACAGACACTGGAAAACAATATAAGTCCCTTGAACTGAAAGAAGGGGTTAATGCAGTGGTGGAAATAGCATCATATGAATGTATGCTCAGTAGGAAAAATGGCAATCAGGAGAAAGGAGTGTCTCCTTGGGACAGTTTATGGACTCCTATAAAAATGGAAGATAAGCCTGCTTGCTCTTCTTCTCTTTCCTTCTATGCTTTATTGATAATTTTGCTTTATGTACTGGAGTCCACCTCCATATTATACTTGCCTTGTATTCTTGTATGCATGGAAAATAATTTATTTATGTCATGTACCGAGCCTTTCAAACCAATAACAAAACAAAACAAAAAAAAAGATGCGAAAATGATACAACTCTGAGTAATGACCAAAAATCTGTTTACCTTTAAATCACTTAAGAACATCCAAAATAAATAATTAAATGGTCAAATGTGTCAAGAATTATACAAATGAATACAATTTAAATGAAAAAATGAATTTAAAGCCAATAAAACAAGATGGGTGCTCAGAATCAGTATGTGTGTTTTTTATTAAATTCTACTGAATTAATTTACTTTAATTAAATTAATATCTAAATGCAATCATTGCTTTTTATTTATTTATTTATTTATTTATTTTATTTTATTTTATTTTATTTTATTTTATTTTTTTTGGGTGGTTGTGGGGCGTAGCTGAGTATGTTATGTACGTTTGCGTGGGACCAAAGACAAATGCGCATTTGCACTAAATACATTGGAAATTCCAAGCTGGGTACTACAAAAATGGAGGGGTGCGGTCCTGGCCTGTTGCTGGACGTTAATTCAGTACAACTTACATGTATACAATCACATATATTCACAGAACATACTGGGAACATATTTTACACAGTGGCTTTTAACGCAAGTGGCACAGTTGGCATACAACTGGCATATTTGCAGCTGCACAGAGCGCACAGGTAAGACTATGTGGAGCCGAGACTTCGCTTATGATATAAAGTAAAACTGTAAAGTTATATATAGGTTAAACCTGCATCGTAGCATTTCTTCCGTGATTATAAATAATGTATACTCACCAAGCAAGAGGCAGGAAACGGTCACATATAACAGTATCATGTCCTTCAGAGAGAAGAGACGTTTGTTTATGTCGGCGGAACCAGGTTAACTTTTGATCCACTCACAACGTTCCTCTAAACGCAAAGGGCACCAAACTGAACACCAAGCACAAAACTTGACAAGTATGTTGCGTAGTCTACTTCCTACAGAGTACAGGTTACTTCCTTTCTGTGTTACGGACAAGTTGTAGCCTACTTTATTTCCCAACAGTCGACTGGGCGAGGCTTCTACACTCTTTGCGTCATGCCTGCTCCATGTGTGTGCAAGATACGCATATAAGGCGGGCGTTTCCGCTGTAGAGATGGTATTACTTCTTTTTATTATGTCTTGTGAAATATGGAATCTGTCACCTCTTCAGGCCACTATAAAATATCCAAATTAAACACTATAAAAAGGCAAAATCCCTCTTTGGTTGGGTTAATCATAATTATGCCAAAAATAATGGCATCACCTCTGATATGGAACCAGCACAGACATTACTGCATTTTAAGGGGTCACATGTCAAAGAGGTCAGGGTATTAAAGTGAAAGTAGGGCTGCAACTTTATGACAGTTTCACGGTATGATAACTCTCTCAGAAAATAGTATTATGTTTTGACAGTATACAGCCTATTGTTCTGATCTGTAACAAGGACATTTGAGGAAATTGGTTAAACAACCTCTTTATTATAATTCAAACTGGAAACATTTTTTGATGGAAGTATGTAGGCTAAAGTCTTTTTTTTGTCAAATAGGGGAGATTGGGCTACAGCCTAATACATTGTAGTTTGGGCTGAATGTTATTAACCTCCTGAGACCCTGTGTCCTCATATGAGGACATCACATTTTGGGTTTACTTGACCTTATACTTCATTCTACTTATCTTAAACCCGTTGTCCTCTTTCATGGACACTTTTTTTGTGCCATCTAGTGATAGTAAGAGCACAATACATTAATCCATGTAAAAACAAGATAGGAGCCATCTCTGCCAAGTCAATCTGCAGCTGATCCTGACACAAAAGTGGACAAGGTCCAAAACCTGATCACATTTTATGGTTGGAACTTTTTTATTGATGCTAAATGCTTGTGGTTTGATACTGCAACAAATTTGAACAATTTTAGCAACTTAACAAGCTAAGATGCTGTTTATTAGGAAGCACTGGTTTGAAGACATTGGGACTTTATTATCATCTCGTTTGAGGATATTGGGACTTAATTATCGTTGACAATATTTAGTTTTTATACTAATCAGGTCCTACTGATCCCAAATAGCTAGGAGAAATTAAAAATGCATACCAAACAAAAGTTCGGGTCTCAGGAGGTTAAAACTTTTTGGGAAGGATTTTTTTTTTTTAAATTATTCTAGCGACATGCACATCTCTGCCACAAATAAACAGTTTTTGATTTTTTTCTAGACCTTACCTTTCTTCTACAATTGCACCAAGAAGTGGTGAAAGTGAAAGGCAGAGGGTTCGCTGCAACACTTGCTGGAAAAGTCTGTTTAACACAATTAAGTCAATACAACCCTATCTATATACCACAGGTCTCCATATACAGCAGGGGAAGGATAGGTATTTGTACAGGCATCCATGCATCTGTTAGGGTGTTTTCACATATAGTACTTTCAAAACAAACTGAACTTAGTCTTTTTATAGTGCACCAAAAAGTGGACCAAGTGAAGAGAGACTCAGTTCTTTTGCGTTCACGTTGTCAGTTCATTCGAAAGAGGATTCAGTTCTCTTTCTAGTCAGCTTCATCTCTGATGGGACCTCTCAGTCCTCTTTTTGTTCACACTATAGCGTATATATAATATATATTGGTGTAGTTCTGGTTTTACTTTGACGTGGCACTGCAGTGCTCGCTTTCATATGAACTTAAAATTGGAGTTGATGTATTCTACATTCCACATCTGGAGACGTGCAGATTGTGGACCAAACTACTCCTCACCCTGCATCCTTGCAATTGTTACAGGTCGACGTGGTTTCGTCTGGTTTTTCAAGTGTCCCAGTGCAATAGCATGTGATCTAAAAGGCTAAATACATCAGCAAAGAGCAAAACCAACCTGGAGCACTCTGTGTTCACAGTGCACAGGTTGAGTGAACCGCACCGCAGACTTGAAGCGAACCATACTCAGGCCATCTCACTCAGGTGGTCTGAGTATGGTTTGCTTCAGAGGGGTCTGAGTTCTTTTGGGGTGTTCACATATGCCCAAAAAATGCCAAGTCACTGCTCTCAGTCTATTTAGAGGGCTGAAAAGGACGAAGTTAGTCTCTCATCGATATTCAATGGTTTGACCGATAGATGTACACTGAATGGGTAACCTAGATCCACGTGTCAAAAAACAAGTTTTGAATAAATGAATATTGACAAGACTGTGAAACTCTGCGTCTGACATATTAAAATACAAAGTATTTCTCATTTAATTAAGGACATTATTTCAAATTGAACATGAGTTTGAAGTGCAAAAATAGAGAAAATGAGCTATAGGAGGATTAGTTGTAACACCAGGGTGTACCCCACCTCTCGCTGACATTGGGTCTATATCAGCTGACATCGGCAACCCCCCCCCCAACGATGCCCAATAGGATAAGTGGTTATGGCAAATGAATGAATGAATGAAAACACTGTCTCTCACACTCACTGAACTCCACTGAAACACATCCAATCTCTGTGGAAATTTGCAGGTCACTGTGGTCAACTGGCCAGAAGCACAAAAGGATCGACCCTATGTAACCACATCAAAAGTCCATGGTAAAATTTACCCTGCCCCTGTTAGGTTGTGCCCATACTCCCCTACTGTAGATAAGCCAATGTAGTAACATAGTATGAGATACCTCAATTTAAATCTAAATCAATTTACAGCTATAATCCTATGATGCAGTCAATTCAACTTTATTTAAATAGCACTTTTCATACACACACACATACAGGTATACATAAAGCAAAGACTGTAATGATAAAGATTAAAATTAAAATGGGAACTGAGGAAACACTATCACCAGAAGCAGGATAAAAACTCAAAATAAAAAACTGTTTAAAATTAGTTAATAAATAAGTAAATGACGTTAAAATAATTCATTAAGTCAATAAAATAATAATAAATACAAAATTTAAAAGGTCAACACTCTCTGCAGCTCTCAAGTCTTCGGGCAGGCTGTGTCACAGAAGTGGACCATAGTTAGTCACGTTCATCCCATCCTTTTAAAATGAAACCTTCTGAACACGGAGTGGCTCAGTATCCATGGTGTCAAAAGTCAAAATACACAGCATATATCCAAACGCATCACACACCTGTGATACATTTTATTTCTAAGAGGCAACTGTTTTTCATAGCTTTACATTATGCACCAAGGTTGCATCTTTATGGTCCAGTATCTTCAACATCTCAGACATAATTAATATTTCACTCAAACCAGATCCTTTATGAACAATTCCTCTCCTATTGCATCATAACAGCCATAAAACTACTGCTTATGTCATGGAAAAGAACAATGATGTTTCCAGTGTTTCATTTCAATTATGAGTCAATAAGTGAGGCAACAGTAGAGGACAGGGGAAAAGAGGAAGATAGGTGTGACAAAGGGGAAGATAAAGGCAGGGAGTCACTGTTTCAAGTTCTGCTTCCATACATCTATACTTAGATTTATTTTGTCCTCTGCTTTAAAAAAAAAAACGTTTGTGTTTTTGACTATTTTTCACATCTAATTACAGAATGCAATCCTGTCCTCTCCATCATCTGTTTTATTTCTGTGAATTTATAATTTAAAACTCATTTATGTAAATTGAAATGATCGGTGACATAACAATATGGTGTATGGCTCAATAAATATAATTGATAAACCCCCAAAAAACAAGATAACTATCAATGTTCATATCACAGCGAACAGTTTCATGGTATACAGCTGCAACACTGAACTGGGAGGTTGGCATCGGCAGAGCGAAGTGTGCAGGTGGGAGTGTAATGATGGGGGAGCTCAGACAGGTAGGGTGGGGCCTGGTTATTGAGGACTTTGTATGTTACGAGGTGGATTTTGAAGTGGATTCCCTGGGGGATTTAAATGTGTAATAGAATACAATGATTAAGTGATGACATTTTATATCCAAAAGGTCAAAGGTCAACTTCACTGTGACATCATAATGTTCTGCAAAAACACTTTGCACTCTGGTCATTTAATGCCTTAATACAGGGACCGAAGGGGAGGCATGTGGTCTGAGTTGGTGACAATAATCTTGGGTGCCCATCTTGAAACTGTAGTGATTGTATTGATCTTCTGTGCTGCCGGGTTGAAGGTGTGTGTGAAACATCCACCTTTTAAAATTTATAACTCCTCCATATTGGAAGCATTGACTACTGTCTTGGCTACATATGAGTCTGAACAAACATGGATGTTAACTGGAACCTGACTTGCTGGCAGAGGCAGACAACCATGAGGCGGTAATTCTAGTTTTACTTTGATTACATTTTTATTTGATTTTCATATTTACGAAGCATAAAGCAAATAAAAACATCATATGTAATTCAACATTATGTAATTATAAAAACCACACAGACACTTTGATATAAGAGGCTGAAGGCACAAGATATCACTATGAAACAACCATATAGAAATACTATACAAGTAAAGCTGGTAACAGTGGCTTAAATTGCTGAGTGGAGTGATTTGATCTCCATGAGTGTTAAGGTCAGTGTGAGTCCTTAATTTCTAAATTCTGCTGCAAAAACTGTCTTTTCAACCTCACTGTAACATCATCTCTCCTACCTATGATACCCATGGCAGCAGGAGAAAGGCAAAGTTATGCATTCAGTGCAAAACCTGAATTTATGGCACACATATTTACATTTCATCTCAGAAATTCTGATCATGGCAGTTAACTCTACAAAATCTACGGAGCTCCACTGAGTTCTTCCGTACCTGAGAAAAAATACGTAATCATACGTAGAAATTGACCTAAAATTGATTTATGTCTCTGTATTACTCCTACTGCTGCTGTGAGTTATCAAGAGTTACTGGAGTACTGGCCTCAAACGTCTTTGATCACACCACATTAGTGTTTAAATTAAAATAAAGAGGACATCCCACATTTTAACCTGCGATAGGTCTGGTCATGTGTCAGTGTAGTGTGAATAATGTTTATCCTGTGCACCTATCACCATGACACTGCAGGCTTGCTTATTTTTCCATGTGTGTATATAACATATTACAGTCAGAGCCTGAAATGGCTGTGTTCCCACTAGTCCTGAGGTAGAAGC